CCCTGTTACCCACTGGCTCTTACCATCCCGGACCCTGTCTGCTAGGGATTCTGCACTGAACCCAGCAAACACCACAGCATGCACAGCCCCGATGCGGGCACAGGCCAGCATGCTAGCCACTGCCAGTGGGCACGGGGGCATGTAGATTGTCACCCTGTCACCTCGTTTCACCCCTTGCCGTTTCAAGGTGTTTCCCAGGCGGCACGTCAGCTCCAGCAGTTCCCTGCCCAAAGAAGCAATGACACAGTTAGAGACTTTCTTACAGATCTTACCTGTGTGCCTAAAGATGGGGTGGTCTCAGTCATAGGTATGCAGCTTACATCCCTACGCACCCAAACCCCCCCACACTGGAAGTCCATGGGAGAGCTGTAAAACGCCAGTGGGAAGGAAAGGAGAAAACTGTCACTAACATAGGTTGTTGTTTATGGAAAATAAATAAATCAGAATGGCCTCTCTACAGAGCCTGACACTCACTGGCCAGCATGAGGAACAAGCCATAGGGCCAGTAATGGCCACTGGCAATTCCTCTGATTCAGCAAGCCCACAACACCTCAGCTGACTTTCCCAGTGACAGCCTGCACATTTCTTATCGGTCTGTACAACTGGAGCAACACACTACCCTACAAGACTGAAGGCTACACATGAGGAGTTAGGTATCTTCCCTGATGAAAACAGGGCCCCGAGCTCTGCTAAAGCACAGAAGGTCAGGTCGTCCGGAGCTTGTGCCCACCAGCAAGAACAAGAACTGTAGGAAAGCAGTAAGCAAAATGATGCCTCTCCTGAGAAGTGTCCCTCCCAGAAACCAGAGCTTGTCTGTCAGTGACTTGTGTCATGGAAGGGCTCTCCATGCAGGGAGATTGACATAGGTGGATGGTCATGTTTGTCACATGAGGTTTGGAGCCAGAGAGGACAGAGGGACTTGTTCTGTGTGCAGAGGGATTTAAGTGGATTTTGTGGTGGAGACTCAGAGAGCAGGCAAATTGAGATGGAAGGTGGGGGACCCCAGACCAACCTAACAGGGCTGAACAGGCAGTTGCCCCAGAGAGCCAAACTCAGCAGCACTGCTGATGTGTGGATGAGCATGGGACTTCCCAACACCCATGTGACTGTGAATCTAGCCTCTCTTCCAGACCCTGCACCTGCAAGTTTAGACACCAGGAACCTTGCTGGGAAGGCACATGTGGGACTTTCCCATGTGGGCTTACCTACCAGCATTGCAGTGCTGCCACAACAGGCTTACATCTGCCTCCCCAGCTGGGGAGGGACCCCTCAGGGCCCAGAGGGTTAATCAGGAGGTAGGCTGGAGTCTCAGATCAGCACAGACAAGCCAACAGCCACCATGCTGTTGTTCTAGCTATGTGAAGGAATGCTGCATCCCCTCACATGATGCACATCAGCCCTGTGCAGTGTTCTGACCTGTACGTGACCCACACCTCCTCTCCCGGTTCATCCTTCTCCCAGATTAAGGCCACTTTTTCTGGGGCTACATGGACGTGTCGGTCCAGACAATTCACTGGAAAAAACAACCCTGTCTCATTTCTAGAGCAACCCTTAGTACCTCTTAACTCCCATAAAGACAGCACTGGAGGTCCTCCTTTCAGATCAGAGTCAAGGCTGTGTGTGAGTGTTTTCTACATTAACCTTGTGCACCCACTGAAACAACCTTCGTGGATACCAGCCAGCAGATCACAAGCACTGTCCCAGGCCTGTTACACTCCTCACCGCTCCAATACCTACCAGTCCCCACTATCAGCTTCCCACTTAATTGCAATTTAACACAGTCCAGAGCAGAAACTGCCTGAAGCCCCTTTGGAGGTCACATCCCCAATGCCCTCAGAAGGCCTGGCAAACATTAACTCAGCCATCACTCCACCCAGCACTGCCTTGCAGCTGCCTCTGGGGTGGACTAGGGCAGTTTTTTAGTGGTGGTGCTCCTAAAGAACAAATGTAGGATGAGGCAAAGCTCTGTGCAGGAAGGCTGCAGGGTGCATTTGTCCAAGACAGAAGGAGAGACAGGGCCAGGAGTGCACAGCCCCTGATTTTCCAGGGACATGGTAGGCCGAGGCTCTGGCTGTAATTCTGACAAAAGTTTCCTGAATTGCTGGCAGCTGCAGTTTCCTCAGAAGCCTGTTCCACTCTGTGTTTTCCTTAAACCTGTTACAGAGGTCATGAGAAGATGTAGCAGTCCATTTGCATACCAAAATGCCTTTTTCTCCTGACCATGTGTAGTTTTCCAGGAGGGAAAGAAGCACACATGAAAGGGGCAACGGTAAGATCTCAAATCCCAAGGCAAATAACTTCTGCTCTGTTGCCCAAATAGACTGTGTAAGACCCAATTTCTGAGAGGTCTGACTTGTATTTTGAACACGGGGACCGACAGCATTGTAAGCAGGACACAGTGTCACCAGCCCCTATGTCTTTCCCTGGCAGCCCCTCTAAAGCAGTAGCCCTAGCCCACAGAATAAGAGCCTCTCACGGCTGTGGGGACTTCCAATACTGCTCGTTGCTCCTGTATTTTGCTTTCTGCAGATATATACTGCCTTTGCTAGGCAGGGATAACCTGCAACACTGCCTGCTGAAAGCACAGGGTTCAATCCTGTTGCTTGTGGTCCTGCAGAATTGAGCCACTGTGCTGCTGTGGGATCCACACAGGCTGAAGGAGGGCATCCCAGCTCCCAGCACACTCCAATCCAGCTGCAGTTGCTTCAGTGAGACCCAGTTACTCCCCTACAACCAGCCACATCCTTACACTACAGCCACTCTGCAGAGTCAACCAGACCTTCTGGGGATACCCGTCACTCCCACCCTTTAACTCTGTGCTGAATCCCTTCACAGAAGGGCACCCACAGGCACTTGGTGGGCTCCCATGTCCATCTCTCCTTACCTGCCACATTCAGCTGCCCACCCAGGAACCAGGAGACCCTGCCCCGGCGCAGGTCGCAGTCCTGGACAGAGTGGAAGGGGGTGATCCAGGTGAGCCGGCTCCTCCCTAGTGCTCCCCAGAAGGCGTCTCCCTGCTCCACTGATACCTTGTACAAGCCTTGGTGATCCTTGAGCCTGGGGAAGGCAACGGCTTCGGGCATGTAGGCGGTGAGGGGCCCATGGCTCCAGGCTCAGGCAGCTGCTGACCCAGGGGTGCATCTGGGAGGCTCAGGAGGAGCTTTGGGGCAGCAAGCCCTGGCCAATAGCCTGGCTATCATTGCAGGGTGCCTGCCTCTCACCAAGGAGATGGGTGCCTGGAGCCCTCACAGCTGCTCAGGACACACAGCCCAGCCAAAATGGGCCCCTGTGGGATCTGGGGCCACGTTGACCTGGGCTGACTGGACACAAAACAGCTCTCCTGTGCAGGGAGCCTGGGCACCCCTTCTCCCGGCCTCGTTCCTCCTCTTCTCTTTTCCAGAGCACTATGGTGAAAGAGAAATTCAATCCCTTTAAGGGAGGGGAAAGGGGTGGGCTGTAGAAATACTTGACTGAAAATAACCTTCATGCTAATCTGAGTCCTGACAGCTGCTCTTGAACAGGAGCCAGATTCAGCGGGTGCCTGGGCTCTCCATGGGGCCACAGTGCCCAGGCCAGGCTCCGCCAGCCCACTCCCACTCAGGGGCTGTGCTGTGTACCCAGACCCTTCTGCTTTGCCCCCACTCACCTCCCTCCCAACTCCCTCTACTCATCCCCATTCCCTCGTTCCCTGCAGCTCCCCCCACTTCAGCCCCCCCCAGTCCTCCACCAGCCAAGAGGACAACCTGGGGCAGCTCACCTGTAAAAGTTAGGGTCACCTCCATGCTAGCCTTGGGTGACAGGACCATCTCCTTTCCAGAATTAAGGCCCACTCCCTGCAGAGCACTAGGCTGTACTGTCTCTGGTGGGCCAGGGAAGGTTTATTTCCTGTGGCTGTCTGCTGCAGGAGGGGGATGTCACATCCCATCCCACCTCACTCTCTGCCTCCTCACAAACAATTCAGACCAGTCCGTACCACAGGGTGAGCTGGGAACACTCAGTGAGGCCATGGGGGAGCAGGTGATGGTGATTTGGCATGAAAGGCTGCAGCCTATCTCCTCATGCTGAGACCTCCCACCACCCACTGTAGCAGACCTAAGCTGCCTCTCTGCCTTCCTTTTCTTCAGGCCCTATATAGATAGTGTTTTTTAAGGCAGGGATTGGAGGGTTCCTTAATTTTACTGACCAGGTTCCCCTCTCTTCCTAGGGGGCACAAGAGAAGAGCAGAAAAAGTCTCTCCCTGCAATCAGGTCTGTTCTCAGCCAGGCACACCGATGGCATCAACAGCAGACCTGAGAGGGTTAGTAGATCTCCTCTTTGCTTTCCATAGTGCAACACCACTCATGGTCTGCAGGGCTGATATGTTCAGCAAACAGGCTGGACACCACTGTGGGAGACAGGCACTATTTGACAGCAGGTGCACTCATCCCAGACCACACACCCGGTTTGTATCAGTGCTGCCCCCAGGGCTGGGTGAGGACCTATGAGGACTCTGTCTCCCCAGGGAAATGCAGTCCTGTAGGCTTATAGCACCTCCACAAAGTCAAGCCCAAGCACTCTCATCATTCCACAGGCAAAGACTCTCATTTCCCATGCACATCTGCTCTGCCTCAGCCTTTTCCCCATGTAAGACATCAGGTTCTTCCATCAGACCATCCCCAGGTGCTGTTAGCAGGGCAGGCAACTCTCAGCTCCTTCTCTTGATACCTCAGTATGGGCTCCCCCTGCTTTCAAATCAGGATTTGCCTTGGGGGAAATCCCTGTGGGTGCCCTTCTCTCTCAACAAGCTCCCCTGCACTTGCAGTGTCTGGCTGCTGCCTCCATTCCTCAGGCCAGCCAGGCTCTGCAGCCTGCTCCTGGCAGAAGGGCTGAGCCTGCCCGGCTCCCTTAAAGCCAGAGCAAGTGTGATATGGGGTGACTCAAAGCACCAGGGCTGTTCTGGATGCTGAAGTGACTTGTTCTCTGGCCATTTGTATGACATGATGCCTAACTTCTGCCTCAGGTACAAGCACAGCCCTTTCAGCGTTGTCTTTCACCACAAAGGGAGAGCAGCACTCGAGCCCTGTTTTCTCCATGCCTGGGTGGGGGGGAAGGTGCAGACCTCTCTCTGTGCTGCTTTGGAGCTCCCACCTCTCTCTGCCTACAACCTGACATCCAACCCCCTCTCAGCTTTGGCTGAATTCACCCTCCTTGAACACTGGTGACCAGACTCATACACAGTATTCCTGTTTAGTTTTATTCTTGTTCATATCTTTACAGAAAATGGCACATAAATCACAGATGTTGGATGACTAGAAGTTGTTACAGCTCCATATCTCAAACACCTCAATACTGAATTATTTTCTCACTGTATATACATTATTTACACACCATGGGCTATCATCTAACACGTCAAACGACTGGGGGACAAAGACAAACAGGGACTGGATGGAGGGTCTTAACCTTTGATGGAAGAAAACACAGTAGCTCTGGGGAAAGGGTGCTCACAGCTGAAAGCAGGACAGAAAGGATTGCCTGGAAGTCACTGTCCTATAGCTTTTGGAGGGGGATAGCGCCTTACCAGGATGGGAAAGTGATGGTACCACGGAGCGGTTTTGGCTGCATGGGTCTGCATGCGCTCATGTGGGGCCAGTTGGGAGACATATGTACACGTTACAGGGTGTATCGGGGTGGACGTGCATGGCTGTCATTCCCTTTAACACTCAGAGAGCGAGCTGGACAAGTTTAATTCAATAAATACATTGGGCAGATGTTGTTGTCTCGCCTGGAATAACGTATTCAGTAAATAAATTCACTGTTCGGCTTCTCCGCAGGGGTGCAGGGCTTTGGTGTTTGGGGCAGAGTCAGACCCAGCTGCGGCGGCCAGCCCTGCAGGAGCCAGCAACATGGGCCGGGGGTCATCTTGAGGTGCCAGGTGGGACCAGGGTGTCGCACCCGCAGGCTAAACCTGCCTCTCCCTGATTAACGGAGGCAAAACTCAACCCCTCTAAAGCTGAAGCCCCTTCCCGGCAGACCCCAACGCCGGGCGGGGAAAAATGGGTGGAAGGGGCGAGCCACCCTGGACGGAGAGTCACCATTTCATGCAAACGCTGCCATGGGCTTGTCCCGTGGCAGCCTGAGCCAGAGGCAGAGGTGATGGCTGGGGGAAGGTGGGGGGTCTGCCTGGGGCATGGCAGGACAGGGCACCAGGGGAAGGGACCCAGGCAGCACTGGGGAGAGACGTGCACCAAGGAGGGGCATGGCGGCAGGGGACAGGCTCACTCCAAGATGGCGGATGGGGTCTGGGACTGGAGCAGGAGGAGGAAGCCCCGGAGCTGGTCACAAGGCCGGAGGGACCCAGAGCCTCAGCGTCCTCTTGGGTGGCGATGACGATGGGACGCTTCCTGGTCCCCACGGGGCAGGGGTGGTAGGGTAAGGGCGGCCCGGCGGGGCAGAGGAGCGAGGGGCAGGGGTACGCTCAAGGGGAGCAGGTGGGGGGCACCCCTGCCAGGCAGCCCCAAGCGCAGAGACCGGGGCCCCGCTCCCCAGGCAGGGGCGGCCGGGGGGGGCCTGGCAGTCCAAGGGGGAACACGGCCCCCAGAGGACACAGTGTCTGTCAGGGCTGGCTTCCGCCACCTCTTCCCCCCCTAGATCAGCTTCTCCTCCTTCTGCGATGAGTTCAACTTCTCCGTCTGTCTCTCATCCTCCACCGCTGCTTCCTCCTCCCCTATCTCCGGCTTCCTCCCTGGGGCTGCGGTGTCCCCGGCAATGGTCCCCAGGACTTTGGTGCTGTGCTCCTGAGCTTTGGCCCTGAGGGCAGCAATGCTGTTTTCTCTCAGTTCCTCCTGGGAAATGGTGGTTTTGGGATCCTGGCCCCTCTCTTCCTTGTCACCCTTGTCAAGCTTGGGCAGGGCCTGGCGCTCCACCTCCGTCTTCCTCCCCGCCTCAGCCGCTGCCTCCAGAGACTTTTTGTGCATCCCTAAAAAGAATTGTTGGTATTCGGGTTTAGAAAAGCGCCTGGGCATGGGAAAGCCATCTTGAACTGAAAACAGCAAAGATAAAGAGAGGCCAGAATTAAGGAAAAGCAGAAACCCTCGCTTCACGCAGCAGTCACAGTGAACCGCTCGCTCTGGCCCCAGCATCCGTGGCCTTGGGGCTGCCCCTAAAGGTCTAGAATTACTCTCCCCTTCATTTCTCTCTGTGAACTTAAAGCTAACTTGTCCCTTCATGGGGACGAGGGTCTTGGACAGCAGCACAGTTGCCTGAGCTTCACTGAGGCTGAGGAAGCAGATCCCCCCCATTGCCTATTCTTGTATCAACCCACTCCTCACACAACCCACTCCTCTGCCTCTCAGTTTTGTACAGATAGAAGGACAGGACTGCCCATTGTCAAGATGCCAGACACTAGTTTTGGGGCAGAATCAGCCTGAAAGATCAGAATGTAGGAAGCAAAGAGCAGGAGTGTGGTAGGGTAGCTGCTACTTCCACGTCTGCACAGAAAACCAAGTGAAACCAAGCAGAAATGCATCTCCCCCAGGTGCTGAGAGCAGAAGGAAGGAACAGTGTGTTCCCCCTGGGACTTAGGGCAAGGAGAGCACATGTGGGGGTTCCAGGACCCCACACAGCTTCACGGGGCTGGGAGAGTCAGACTAGGATGACCTCCTGCCTTGGGCAAGGGTTGGAGCCCCTGCCCCAGGGCTGGGCACGAGGGATGCTCACGCCACGGGAGTTGAAGACTAACACCAGCCTGAGCATGGGGGCCCGATTCCTGCCCCTGACAGGTCCTGCAGATCAGGATCCAAGGACCAGCAGGGATTTGAGATGAGTGGTCACACTATTGACAAGGGCCGCTGGGGAACTGGGGGGTGGAGGGTGGTGGGGCGGGGGGACCTCATCCCGCTGCCCTCCACCCATGTTTTCAACATGGCTCTGGTTTCTTCCTTGCATCCCCCCGCTTTGTCTAGACCCACTCTCCACTCCCCATGAAGGCGACTGCTCTCTTACCCAGGAGCCAAGGGGCGCAGGACTCCATGATGCCATCCTTGGCAGACTTGAGGATGGATTCAGGCAGCGGGATGGAGTGACGTACCATGGCACCATAGAGCCCATACTCAGCCATCACGCTGCTCCTGCCCCAGCACTTTTCCCTCTTTCGCCATTTGGCCCGGCGGTTCTGGAACCAAACCTGAGGTGGGCAACAAGGAGGAATATCAGTTTTGAGGGGGGAGAAGGTGTGTCAGTCCTCTTCCTCTGTGGGAACACTCGTGTGCTTTCACAGCAGGATGAAGGCAGATGTGTGGGTGTTCATTCCAAAAGCACTGCACCCTCTTCCCCCATGCAGCAGCCTCCCTCCCTCCCTTGCAGGAGCAGCAAGGGCCAAGCATGAGAGCAGGTCCCATCCCTCTCTGCAGGATGTAATTAATTTGCCATCACAGCGTCTTTTTCTAGTGGCTTTTGGCTCTCGTGCCTGGGATTTTCTTTCATTATTTACTGGGTGTCTGAGCTGCAGCGTGGGGCTGCGGGCAGCGGTGCCTGCAGAGAGGGCTGGGATGGGGGCAGTTGTTCGGGAGAGGCGGGAGAAGGGGGAAGCTGATCTATGCGCTTCGCCCTGAATTCCCAGTCTGAAAAGCCCCTCATCTTCTCAGAAAATTGGCAGAATAATCTCTGAGCTGTGACCTGGGGGGCAGTGAGCAGAGAGGCGGGTGGCGATGGCAGAGAGGGGAGGGGGGGATGCTCACAGAAATCTATTAGCGCTCTCTCTCCGATTTCCATTCCTCTTGTCTCCCTCGCCCTCCTCCCTCCCCAGCTCCCCTCCCTTCCCGCCGAGCAGAGGCATCAGCTTTAGATGAAAAATTGCTCGAGGTCTATTCAGAAGGAGGCAAAGGAAGAGTCAGCCCCAGGGGCAGCCCAGGCCTGATTGAAAAATAAGTTAATTTCAGTTTGAATCGATGGGCCTCAGGCACTGAAATATCACGGGAAATTAAAGCAGCTGGTCCCCAGGGAACCACGCCATTGACCTGCGCTAATTAATGCCATGGAGTTACCAGGCCCCTCTCCGAGAGGCAGCCCCTCCCTCCCCGTGGACACCCCAAACACCTCCTCATTTAACTAATTAGACTCACAGAAAATTGGGTGTTAATTTGTTTAGGATTTTTTTTTTTCTTTTCTATTTTTTTTCCTCCCTTTCCCAGAAAGTACACAGCAGAATGGAAATGAATGGCGGGGTCTCACTGGCAGATGGATGCTCGGGGTCACTCCGCAATCTTCTCCGACTTGATTGCTTGATTAGGTCGTTAGCACATTAAAAAAAAAAATTGCTTGCCGTCTGGCGCTGGCCTGATGAGTGGGATGAGGCGGGAATCGCCTGGGTAATTTATCTTTTTATACTGCAAAGAATTTGATTTCAATCTGCAGATATATGGAGGTGCCTTTGACACCTGTTTAACATTACAGATCTGACAGCTTAACCCTCTCTTGTCCCCATTGCCCATAGCCATGGGGGAGCTCAGGCTGCAGTGGGGAGCACTGGGGGACTGGGGCAGACCCCCCAGCTCTGCCGTGGGGACCGTGAGACTGATGCTGCGGTGTGATATCCTGCTCTCAGCTGGCAAGGCAAGCTCGCCTCTTCTACCTGTGCAGAAGGGAACTGCCCAGCACCGAAGCCTTACAGGGACAGAGCTACAGGGTAGGTGGGTGGCTTGCTAGTGCTGGTGACAGCCCGCCTTGGCCACTCCTGGGATCCCGGCTGGCCTGGCCCCGCAGGGAGCTCCGCAGGGTGGGGTGGTGGTCCCAGTGGCTGTGATCCCAGCTTCTTCCTGCAGAAGACTCTCTGTGCATGTCAGAGGGGAGTTTAAAGCCAGGCTGCTTCACCACACATCACCTCATCTGCATGATAAACGGTCTGATTTACACTTTCATACTGCCAATATGTAACCCCTGGGCCACAAATGGCTGCGAAGCCACTGGGGCCTGAGCACAGACCCTCAGAAGTGCACAGCTTCCTCTCTCCTCTCGCTCCTCCATGCCTGTGTGACACACGGGTTTGCTCTGTCCTGCAGTCAGCACGATGCTGGTGGGGTCTCTCACTCCCGGCCATCCTCCCCTCCCATTCCCAGAGCCCGGCGGGCAGAGCCGAGGGGGACTGGCTCACTCCCTCTCCAAACTCAGCACAAACCCCTGTGGTTCCTTCTCACCCACCAGACCAGGGCGGTGGGCCAGCCACCCCTGACACCTCTGTTCTGTGAGGGGCCAGCTTGACCCACTGGGTCCAGGAGAAGGATCCTGCCTGTTCTGCCCTGGATAGACCAGTGCAGTCATGTCCCTCACCACAGAGCTCCTCTCTATCTCCCTTGGCTTCAGGGATAAATTTCTGCACAAGTCAAGTACCGGCACCTGCAAATCTACCTTGGTTTGGGGCTATGATGACACCTTTCCATGTACCTGGAGCAGCTTGCAGGGCACAGCTGGTTTTGTCACTAGTTGCCATACCTCAGCTAGGACCAGGTTTTCCCATCAAGTACCAAGTGGGCAACTTTTTAAACTCTCCTCAATCCTCTTTTATCCAGGTGCTTCTACACTGATGCTTTCACCACCTCTCCCTTTCCCCTCCCTCCTGCCTTGATGTCCCAAACATCTTCCCTTATGCCTCATGTTCCCTTGCCCTTCTTTCTGGCCAGGTCATAGCCTGTCCCAGTGCTGCCCACTGCCACTAAAACTGCTGCCCCGGAGCATCCCCTTTCCCATGGCAGGGCCACGCAACTGCTGGAAACAGCAGAAGCTTTGCCAGCTGGCAGCTCAATTTTGACTAGAGCTGGTAGAAAATTTTCGATCAAAAAATGCTGATTCAATCACACAGGAAAAACTGTGTCTGGCCAGTAGATGTGTAATCAGAATTATCCATGGCTTTCTTCTGAATTCTGTATTTTAATCTCAGCTGCCTAAGACATGCAAAACCTATGCTTTAAAGCCAAATGGAAAAATTAAAATGACATCAACACCTCAATAAGATCATTCTGAAATTTCCAAAACTGATTTTTGTCATTTGATGGGAATTTCTTCTTGGTTTTGACTAAGGAGAATGAAAGTTTGAAATCCCAGAATTTCCAGAACAGAAATCCGGAGGACTGACCATCTTGCTTCAATACCAGGAGCCGTATCTTCACCTCAGGCATGAAGTCAAGTGAAACCAATGGTGCTCAATATTGCTGGGATCAGACTCAGCCCGACACCTCTGCCACAAGCCTGTCCCAAGGGGCACGGAGTGAAGAGTTCCAGAATGTCACTGGCAGCCCTCATGCCATTTCAGGTTAACAGAATTATTCCCCATGGCCCATTCTCAGGATTTTGCCCTCATTCAGGTGGCTCCACCAGTGGGACTTTCTTGTGGGATAAAATCTCGCTGCTTTCTTCACATTTCTTGACATGTTACCAAAATTTTATTGTGCTTTGATTCTGAGCTGAATTATGCATCAGATTTAGTAATTCTGAGCTATTTTCATCTGTGTTGGTGCCTCACTTTTCCTGGAGAGGGTTTCACCCTTACACTTACTCACGGTTTTGGTATTCTGTCTTTGACTGCTTGTTGTCTTTGCTTGGAGATTACTCTACCACTTCCTCTGGCTCTGTAAAATTCAGTCTGCTTCAAGTAATGTTTAGGTTTGTCCACGTTTCCTCTTGCTCCTTCCTATCACATGGATCTGCTCAGCTTTGTGAAATGCTTTATTGATGTGGCTGTGTACCACACACCTTCCGTCTCACTTGCTTTCATCTGGTTCTCCATTGCACAGCCCAGGGTACGGTGTAAAGATTGTGTTTGTGCTTCCACACTTCATGAGCAGTGGTGAAAACCTTGATTCATTTTAGGCTGAAGCACATCAGATATTTGTGCAAAGCTATCACATGTCATGCACAGAGGTGTCTTTTGGATCAATGCGCTACATCTTAAGATGATTTACAGCTTTTTATTATCACATGAGCATCCTCTGTGAAACATGGGAAGTTTGTTCCAGGAGCCCTATTCTTGAAAAATGAACAAGAGTAAAGAGGAAAGGTTTGTCTTGCTATCCACCAGGTGCATTAACATCTAAGTTCAGTCCCTGCATGCACATTTACTGTTTAGCAGCCCAAAGCCCTCTCCTGGTCTGCTCCTGAGGCTCTACAAGTGACGCCCTTGGCACGCCAAGGGCTGGATCTGGGGTGGCCACTGCCGTGGCTGATCGGGGGGTAGCAGCCAAGCGTGCCTCTGACAAAGCTGCCAGACACCCTCCGTGCAGCACATCGGGGTAAGACGATGCCCACTGCACATTGCATGCTGCAAGCTGGGTATGCCGGCACACCCTGCAGAAACTGCAGGCTCTTCCATATCCATGGGGTTGGGTCCTCTAGGCATAGAAAAGCTGCAAGACCAAACCCCATCACCTCGCAAAACCTGCTCTCTATATGAAGCAGGCAAATGGAGGGTGGCAACGTAACACCTCACTCAGGGAGAAGCTGATCCATCAACTCAATCTCTGTCATTTGGTCAGAACTGATCATCACACACTCTCATTTGGTCAGAGCTGGGCACATCACACTGACACTGCCTCCTCCAGAGCAGCCATAGCCCATGAACCAAGATAGCAGCAAATGCCAGCACCGTCAGTGTCACCTCCTGGATCCTTGTTCCACATGCCTGTTCTTCTAAGGCTCCCCTACCAAAATCAGCAGTATTGCAAAGCCTTATAAATGGGGATGTTTCTAACCTTAACCATCACCTATTCTCACCCTCAGTGCCTGATGTCCAAAGCAATAAAAGTTGAAGCACTCTGTGCCCAGCCACAGGGTTGCAATGTTTTGGAGTCAAGATTGGCAAGGTTATCCTTGCCAGTTTCCTCCCCTGAATCACAAATGATGACCGATATTTCTTCAGATTATTGATGATGCAGAAGAGCAAATTGTAGTAGGAGGAATCTCTCATTCTGCAAAGGGACATGAGATTTAATGTGTCCTTGTTATCCACATTCATCATATTAGTTAGTTTGTTTACCTAATCAGCTCCTGAAACATTGTCTGCTAAAGAGAGAAATCTCCCTGAGGTTGGCCATGAGCCAGGAATCTGAATTAACAAAGAGATATTTTAAAGCATCTAGGGTGTTACTGTGTACTGTTTCTGTATTGTTTCAACCTAAAATCTTCACTGGTTACACT